GAGATGATAATTTAACGACTTCAAAAGAGTAGGTAATCCTTATATTTACTTAAGATACTTATCACCAGTCAATACAGGCAATACGCCTGTATTGACTGTGATAACATTTTATACTTAAATAAGGCTTTCTAATACCACCACCAAATAAAAAATATTAAGCAAGCAAGTTCTTTAGTGAGCTCATTTCTCAATTATTGTTTATTTTTCTCTAAAATATAATGAAATAAAATATTATATTTCTTGGCCATTCTCCGCTATTTACCCGCGTGTATAGCCAACAAGCGAAATCTTCAAAAGAGCTCTCAGATACATTGTATCATAATAGACAATATTTTAGATAACCTATATAACTTTTTCTCCTTAAAATCCGTTTGAGAATATTTAAATTTGTATTTTTTCTACCCTCACTACGAGGAGGTAAAATCTGTAAAGTCATCCTGCCTCATAGGGTAATTTATACTGGATGATTAATCACGCCAATGAATGTAATTTGTTAAAAATATTAGGTGTTGTAAACCTCTTAACCTCCTTTCTAAGGAGAGGCCTATGTCCAGCAGTGAACTGTTATAGGTTGATGATGAAACCTCTTAAAAATGTTATTTAAATTATTATATTTTTAGCGATCCCTGACTTCTCGTAAGATACGTGTTTTTAATATAATGAATTGCTAAACCAGTGTACGAATATGTCGCGGGGAAATCTGCACTGCAGAAAGTATTACATCAGGTTTAAGATCATTTATTTCTCACAAAGAATAACATAAACTATTCACTTATATGAGAAAAACAAATTACAATTTCATTGATTTAGCTGTGATACAGAAAAAAATAATTGAAACAAAACAATTCCTTGCACAAATATAGTGAGGGTAACTTAAAAACATTATGCATTCCAAACATTGTTCAACCACGTTAGCTGTGAATACAGCTATCGAGCGTGCCTAGAAGTGACAAACGGTTTGTACACACTACAATTTACTTTACATATTTTGCACTATGAAAACTATTTTCTGCTAGTTATGGTAGTAAATTTAAGTATAAAATTTGATAATACAGTGAACTTAGTACATACTTCGTTGAATATTAATTGAATTAATATATTGTGTATCTTATTTGTTACCATTGTACATATACCTATATTTGATTATATTGATTGATTTAGATTCATAGTTAAATATTTTAATATATTACATAATAATTACAATTACAATTAATAATTACATAATATATTTAATATAATTACATATACATTAGCGCATGTAGTATCATTATTAATTTAATGATTTATTAAAACGAAGATAATATATTCACAAAAATATATAAAGTTATAAATTTAATGAAATAAAATATATAAATTTATGCAATAGATAAACATTATGATTTATAAAAAGTGTATTTATGCTTGTATTATTTATCAATGATGTGATACTTTAATAATTTTTTGAAAGTGTGTATATTTTCGCAGCTTTTACCACATTAGGCAGCTGATTATAGATTTTAGCACCTTCATCTATACCCTCTTTCCATAATTTGTTCGTACTTTTAAAGAAATATAACATTCCTACCCCTAAGACCGATTCTATGCACATCCTTTTTTTATTAAATTTTATTTGTTTTGGTATATTATTAGGTAGTTAGTATTTTTCTTATAAGTATACAATTTTTATATTTGTATGTCTGTAGAACAGTCATGATTTTGGTTTCCTTGTAGATTTTTTGAGTTGACGTGAGAAATCCGAAATGAAATATTTTCTACATAAGTTTATTTTGTGCTGTTTGCACAGGTTTCTAGATTGATTTTAGCAGCTGTACCCCATACTAGAAGTATTAAGTAGTGTATATGCGGTTTTATAAGTGTATTTATTATATATGGTGTGCCTTAATTTCGCGGTATGCAACTTACGATGCCACGTAACATTCCTGCCAAACAGACAAGTTTATTCCTTAGTTTTTGTATTTGTGGTTTCCATGTGAGATTTTTATCCAAAATGATTACATGATGATTTTATAGGTTTACGAATTGTGTCAAAAAATATTTATTACGTTCTCAAATTAAAAAATAAATAAATAAGCCAAGTAATTATAATGATGAACAGTGAAGTCCTATGAGGTACAAGCTGTGTAAAAATAGTAGGTCGGAACTGTATTGTTTTTACATTGATGATGAGTTTTTATATATTCAGGTTTATCCCACGATTGAAACGAAGTCTTGTAAAAAGTTGATGACAAAGTTCTATTTTTACTTCGTAACTAAGTCGTTCTAATTATTAACAAATTTATTCTAGAAAGAAAACCTCTCACAGTGAGCAAATAAATAATTATAAATTTAAGTGTAGATTGCGCTGTTGAGATTTTGCGTCATAAAATCAAACTTTATGCCAATCGGCGATCGTTCAGTACTAAAATTCGCAATTCCTTTTGCTCGTGGTGCTTGCCAAGAATTCCATGCTAAAGGCTCTGTCAAGAGACAAGTGACGATATTGGTGTCAAGGTGTTTATCAGCGCCAGTTATTCGGTTTCCTACCCTCCATTAGTTCGATATAACTTACAAATGATTGCTTTGCGTTACCTTATCAAGTACTCACTATAAAATCGTAAGAATGTAGTATAGCGTTTTCTGGTAAGTTTTGGTTAATGGTTGCCAAGCAACACATGTTGCGGTCAAGTCTGTGCAAAACAATGTACTTTTAACGATAACATTTATGTTAATATATCTCAGTTTCTACATAATTTACTGGAACACAATTGTAAAAGAAAACCAAAATAACTTATTATTTAGTATTAGTTTCTTTTTTTAGATAGATTTTAATTCTAATATTAATAAAACATGCATACCTTTGATGTACGCATGTAAATCGATTATGTAAGCATCACAATCGAATCAATTAGGTAATAATAAGAAAAGAGATTGATGAGAAACTAAAGCTAATTCAACTGTTTCCAATCAATTAAATTGAAAATACTTTTTTACTTTATTTTCTTTGATTACCACTTTGATTTATTAAATTTTGTCACTGAATCCAAGCGTTATTTATTTGTGTCTAGAGAAAAAGAAGCCGGTTTTCTCTCTCAAGATTTTAACATACTTTCTAGTTTCATTTTAATAACTCTGAAGAGATTTTTGACGTAGTTTTTGTTATTAGTAATTGATAAAGGAATAGAAGTAAAGACTAGAGACAAAAGGACTGTAACTCAGATTGCCAGTTTGCGCAAACGACAGGGGAAACCCTTTAGAAGGCCAGGTGGGTGGGCAATCTGCGCAAGGAAAGGCTGGCAGGGGGTGATTCAAGGGGGCTTAAAAAAAAACGATCTAAGTGGCGTGGCAATGGGAGAGGCCTATGTCCAGCAGTGGACTGCGTTAGGCTGATCATGACCATGATGATGAATGAACAAGAATATTTTCGGAAACAATTCAACAATTACAATTTTACAATATTTTTTGGCAACAAAACAATTTAGCAATCATACAATGATTGCATTTGACTGAGCACGATGAAAATCGCACAATTTTTATTCTGAGCAATACACAAACGTGAGTTATGTTTATACACTCATTACGATATGCTTTGACCTAACATTTCACTATTGGAAATAGTGTCAATATTTGCACTTGTTGCTCAAAGCAACAGATTTGCTAAATATACAACGTTAATTTCAGAATCCGCCGGTATCAAATATTGCAAAATCACACCGTACGAAATTCCGACCCAACGTGTAGAAAATTTACCACGGTAGGTTGACAATGCCAATGTGTTAATTTTATGATTGTAGCTGTAGATGTAATGAAATGAGCTGTAGCTTCTATAAATACTTTTCATTAAATTATAAGATTAAAGAAAAAAACTCTCGGAGGTTCTCAGCTGGGTTTGATTTTTTAAATGTTTGTTACTTCAGAACTCCGTCGCTTAATAAAGCGATTCGAACATTTTTTTTAATTTGGGAAGGTATACTTCTTGTTTAGTTTCATTTAAGGAGTGAAGAATATAACTTGTCATCATGTTTTAGGTGCAATGAGTCAGTGATACTTTAAAAAATAATAGTTATAAATCATTCTGTTTGTCCGCTAGTCCATTTTGATAACATGAAAGTAGACTAGGGAAATGGCGGAAAGGGCGAATTATATCCGTCGTTTCCTAATTTGTTTGGAATTTAAGTTCGCTTCAAGCCAATCTCACTCGTCAATAAACAAGCGTAGGTCTTCGTTATTGTTAAGAATAAAGCCAGTATTTCTGTAGTCATTCCGTAGTAAGTGGTAAGCTTGGGGCGGGGTAGGAAGGCAACCTCAAAAGATTTTCCCTCAGGTCTGGTGTTCGTGGTTAAACAACAACTTGTCAACAAAACCGCGTGAAAGAAAGGGGTTTCGTTTCTGATAAAGAGATTGTTCCTTTTTTTTATTAGAAGTAGGAAATGATCGTTGTTTAAGAGGAATCCTGAACACCCGTGTAATTTCTTTTGGTTCTTATGATATTAGTCCAAAAATTGGCTTCTTAGTCAAACATTTTGTTTTTATATATTGAAAACTAGTTTTGTTTTTTGAGACAGGACGACCGTGGTGACTTATCTTTATTTCTTATAGTAGTATGTGTGGTTAATTACTTTATTACTTACAGTTATGTAGAATAGTAATGCTTGATGTTCAGAAAGAAATCGCTTAATTAAGTCAACTTACAGGTACGTAGCAGAAACATAATCTAATATAATTATGTTTACAATTCGTTTAGAAATAGCGAATAAAGGTTAATTAATTGAAAAAAGGTATAAGGCTATTTAATTAAAAAATGTACATAAATATAGTATAAGTTTTATGAAGTCTGTGAAAAATTTGTATACACGGCTTGACTGACAGTTTAAAAGTGTCACTCGTGCTTTGTCCACCCAAATCTTTCCAATGGGCCCCATATTGAGTAGAAGTAATAGAGGTGTCAGGAGGCTCCCACTCGAGAAGACAGTCTGATCTACTAGATATAATTGTTTGTTTGATTATTTAAAAAGTTGGGTAACATGCGATTGTAAGTTGTTTGAGTATGAGAAGGTCTTGACATGGAGCAACTAACTTCTACAGGAGTTAATATTTACTTAAGGTGTTACCAGCCTAAGGTATAAAGGAAAAGGGAGCGAAATATGTATTCCTCATTTCATGCCTTAGACGGTCTCCAGGCTCGTCGTCCTAAAATGGCATGCTGCCAACAGTGATGTTGCTTTTGTCATAAGCCTGGCAACTGTTGCTCAACTTTGTCTTCACCCACATGTCTTTGGCGACCGTGTTGCGCACTTAATTAGTATAGATTATGATCCTTTAGAATCGCAGAAACCTACACGAGAGATTCTTCCTAAAAGAAGAGAAGTCAGTTTGTAATTAAAAAAAATAATAACTAAAGGAGAAGCTATCTAAGAATCGCATAGCTTGAAGAAAATATAACTAATTCGCAAAAACAATTCTCCCGCCAATCGCAGCAAGCTTTAAACTTAGTCTAACTGTAAACTGTACATGGTATCGCGTGGCAGTGGGCGTGTCGAGGGCCCTCAGTGCCAGTTGTGACCTAAGCCTTGACACCGCGACCGCCAAGCGGGGATCAGCGATAGTCATGCCAGGTATTTAAAGGCTGCTTACCGTTGTAGAGGAGCGTCGGCTCAGGGTCTCTGGGCGAAGGCCCCCGGGGCGGTGGCGGCGGGCGCGGGGCTTCGGCCGCGCCCCTCGCCGACCACGTCGATCTCTTCGTCCGAGTCATCGGCCAGCTCCGCCGCCGGGGGCCGCCTTCCACTTCTTGGCCATGAGGCAGCGCGGCATGGGCGGCGCCCGCATCGGCCTCAGCGCGGCCGCATCAGCGAGAGACAGGACGAACAGAGAAAAAGAGAGAAAAAGAGAAAGAGCGGCGCCCCGGGCGAGCGGCTAGCGAGTGATCGCGCGCGTCCTCTTGCGGTTGTGGTAACTTGGTGTGGGGGTCGCTACTTATATAGAGCGCGGGGTGTTTGCGCGCGCCGCTACTTCGATCGATGGGGCGACGGATGGCTTCGCACCACGCCATACAAACTTTGCAAGTCGCGCCAACTTTAAGCGACACTGGACAGGACGAGCACCGAACCCCACATACGATCAACCAGTGGACGAATTCATAGCGCACGCGACGTGCTCGATTACGTAGCGAGGCCGCGCGAAACACGTAGCGTTCGAACTCGCGCGATGGATTCTTTTATTTACTTTTCACAACTTTTGTTTTGAATAAGTAACACAACACAGGACTGAACCAATTGTTTCTTGAGAAACTACGTACGTGTCATACATTGTTGATCGTACCAAAACCGTTTCAGTAGTTAAACTTGTCAAGTTCTAGAAAAGTTTCATTTTCAAAGGTTTATTTGCAAGAATATAAAAATGATTTTTTTTTAAGAAATATTTTCAATCTTTTTCTTCTCAATATTGTGAAAGGTCAATTTAATAAAGTTTGACGTGTATTGTTACTGGGCTGGCTAAGATGAATGGTAGACAGGATCTCAAGGGCTGCAGATCAGACAATCTTATAACAATTACTCTTCTTCAAACTGGCTATTAAATATATTATTGATAAAACTGGCAGATTCTTTGGAAAATATTTAAAAGCTTCACAAAAAAAATAAGTATGGATGAAAGTCTACAAAAATTATGCTTCACCTATAAAAAATGTTTCAAAGTTAAACTTGTTTAGATTTTACAGATTTTTCTTATCTAGGAACAGTACTAACTTTTAAAAGATTACTTTTTTAAATAGAACAAGACTTTCTGAATTAAGTTTATCTCTGAGAACTTAACATCTTCTTTAATAGATTTCAATTGCATATTAATACGTGCAGACAACTTTTGTACACGACTTTAAGCGAATTTAGCTCAGTCATGTCATATACTCGTAGAATAGAATATTATTATTAATAGAGTATGACATATAAGAAAACGTGCCTATTTAAATTGAATATTTGGTTAAAACGGCTCAAAAAACTAGTGTCCAGTACTAATGCTGACCTGTCATGGTACGGAACGTTATTTAAATAATAGCTCTATTGGACTTTTTTTTAATATTCCAAAGTTATAACTTGCGCTCGTAATTTAACTACCAAGCATTTTCAATTTTTTATGCTAAACAAATTTTTATGATGTGTTGTAGGATGTAAAAGCGTATATAAATAATTCAAAAAGATTAGGAAAACATATCTGGCATTAGGTTTTCTTGTAACTTGATAAAGGAAAATATTGCGTTGGGAATTCGATTTCCAAAATTTTAGATTTCTGCTTCAATCGGGGAAGCCCAATTTTCGAAAATTGTACGCATTATGTAATAATATATTGTGTATTAGAAGAACTGCAATTTAAAATCACATCATCACATTACATCAATAGCCTATAAGAGTCCACAGCTGAATATAGGCCTCTCCTTAGAAAAGAGGTTTGGCCTACTATACCACGCTGGCCAGACGAGTTGGTATGAGTTTGTGTCAAGTTTTCCTTGTCTTTGCAGTGCTGTTGTCCTGCGTAGTTTGCTCCCTTACTCGGCTTTTACGACACCCACGGGGTGGTGACACTCCGTATTCTTAATCCGTCATCACACGGATAAATGGGAATATAAATATCACAAGCTTTTTCGTGTGGATTCGCTTGCATTAAAGTCTTTTTCTTATTCCTGAAGAATAATCATTTTTCTAGATGCTATGGCACTACTCCGTACACCTGACAATGTGTCTGCAAAAAGTTTTGAAAATCATTTGTTTAAAAGACAGACAGATAAGCAGGCTGAGTTTATTTTCGCACATATAATATTAAGTAAGTAGGTTTATAGATTTACTAATACAAATTGATTTGAATTTATTGCTCTCAGAACTTTTTAGACGATTAATGGGTTATCATGTTCAGTAGCGAAATTACTTTGTATATGAGTTTGGAACAATTGGCAATTTATAATGATAATACAATTTTGTTGTCCTCCCCTCACACAGATATAGTTACAATAAACAATCTTAATCTAGGTTAGTTTACTTTATGTAACTTTTTCTTTTTATTATGTAAGTGGTCCCCCTTTCTGAGAACTATTAAAGGCTGTTGATGATGATGATGATGATGATGTAAGTGGTTTACTAAAAGATGGGACGGTTGTTTGTATTTCACGAACAGTTATAATATGTATATAATATTGTTTTATTATAATTCATGAGACTACATTTTAGTCACTACATAATATTTAACTAACTGTTAACCAAAGTAAAATTATTAAAATACTTGCTTACGTCCGGGAGCTTCGGCCGCGTGTGTGTCGGGTTGTCGCAGTATAAATTTAGCCTATGTATCTTTACTCGCTGATAATGTAGCTTTCCATTGGAGAAAGAAGTTTTAAAATCGGTTAAGTGGTTTAGGATTGAAAGCGTAACAAACAAACTCACTTCAAATTTATAATATAATAAAAGTATAGATTTCCTAGTTAATGTTTGAACCTGATATATTTTGAATAAAGAAAAATAGTATCTCGTTAACCCACTTCAAGAAGTAGATGTGTCCTACCATAATTAGTAAACTCCCTAATTTAAGATTAGTCGCTAACTTTTTAATTAATAAACTCTCGGTAATACGTATTTTGTTTTAAACTCGATCGTCACGGTGACCGCGTCCGCAACCCGCGTCGAGAGCGAGTTGATGTGAAATAAACTCATACTAGGCCCTCTAGGCATATATGTATTGTTCAGGTTCAGGGTATGTCTGAATTTTCTGTCTAGGCCTTGCGTGGTGAGTAATTAAAAGGGTGTGACAGAAACGTGTAGTCATACTTTAGGACCGTACAGTAGGCCTCGTAAATAACGTAAAGTTCTAACTACTTCTTTTTCTTCTTAGCCCTATTCAACCATTTTTGTGTGATCTTTCGATCATAATGCCACTTAAGTTAGAAACGTTGATGAGCCACCTGATGGAAAGTAGCCAAAGCTGCCCATGGACACCTACAACTCAAAATTTACCAGCACGTTGCCGGTCTTCGAATCCTCCCCCTTCCCCCGGATAGAGGGAGTTTGGGCTCCGGCAACAGCACTTACTCGGTGAAACGCATCGAAAGAATTAACGCCAATTTTCTGTGTGGCCAACAACTCAGGTCGAGCCTGCTCACTTGCCGAGTATGGCTCTTTCACGGTAGAAACGACAATATCTAGTAGAGTTGAAGTCAAAGTGTAGATCTAATATTTCACATGAGTGAGAGAGCGAGAGAGAGAGAGAGTGAGAGCTGAGGTGAATTAAATTAGGGGTATTTAATAGTAAGGATGTTGATGCAATTTTCCTATCTGCATTACAAACAACCACTCTATTACAAATATAATCATTATTTGTCAGCTACATATGTGTAACGGTCCTAAAGTTTTGACCAAACCTTTCTATAACCCTGTATCGTAGATAATGCAAGTTTGTAATTGTTTCAAGTTATTGTAGTTGCCACGGTCGGATTTGCACTTTGTATTTCTATAAAGGCGAACTTCAAACAACAACCACTCAGACACAATATTTATGTATCTACACAATTAATAAGTTTGTCGTCCGCCACTTTGATACAAAAAAAATTGTTGTCTAGCGTTTTCAAACTAGTGATGTTTCCATTGAAATATTTAGAATAGTTACAAACATAGAAAAATAATAAATAAATAAGATGTGGAGGTTAATGCTTTTTTTATGTGTGATTTGGCAAACGAGCAGACGGAAAGCGACTACCGCCGCCATGAACGCATGCAACATCGGTTTCATGTTCATTATTGCAATGTTTTATTCTCGACAAGGCAATATCCGCTTTGTTAGAAAACAATAACGGCTGTATAGTGATGTATGTGCTAACATTACCAATGAGTTTATATCGGAGATAGATACTTTTTATTGCAAAAAAGTAGTGTACGAGTACAAAATCGAAAAATATACTAAGAAGCAGTTGAAATGCCGGTCATTTCATAATCTGTGAATTGATAGAACAACTATGAATATTATGTTTTAACACTAAGCTCCCTTGTTTGCTTCAAGGTTAAATTAAATTTACTGGCTGTATTATGCTGGTCTTTCAACAGTTCACTTATTTCATCAAGTCGCATGCTAACGCCATTGCCAATGGGCTTCATCCGTCGACTACGTTTTAATAATAAAGCCATTCACTAGTTGCTCGTAGCAATACTGTACAATATCAACCAGTGGCCGGGTAGTTTCGACCGAAATATTCCGTTGTTATCTGACCCCTGGATTACAAAGATCCACACATTCTGACTAGGAACTGTTACTTAGCGTTTAATGTGCTTTGAAAAACTTCTGGCATTTATGTCTTCAAATAAATCATAGTAATAATAGGGGTTCAAGTATGAAATTGCCGTTGTATAGTAATAGATACTTTGAATTTACATAAAACCTTCATGGTGTAAGATTTTTGTGTGAAACTTTTTTCACATTATACCTATAAGCTTCATCTTTAAAAAAATGTGCAGCATTTGATTTTTGACTTTCAATTCTTTTTTTTATTCAGCTTAGACGTGAGAGATGGATACTTCGAAAATCTGAGTCATTTTTAAATACGAGTACGGGCACGGAACTTACGCGTCAGAAACAGCTTAGCAATATCAACGCACAGCAATATCAACGCTGCGTTTGGGGAGCAGACTGCTAAAGTGCGTTTTCTGTTATATCCCTTTCGTAATGGAAACTTCGACTTGAAGAACTAACCTCGTGGAAGACCGCCCACGCAGGTGAATTACAACAACGCTGAATTAAAGGAGATGGTGGAAGCCGATCCGAGACAACTACCCAGGAATTAGCGGCATGGTTTACAATATTAACTCTTTTGCATCAAATCAATAAGCTAAAAAAAATATGAAAAATGGGTGCCTCTAGATTTGACTGATCTGCAGAAAGAAATGCGTGTTGACTTGAAACTTGTGTTGTCTTGTTGAATCTGTACAGAAATGAAAGAATATTGGATCGAATTATGACATTGACGAAAAGTGGATTGTTTACGAAAACCGTTAGCAAGTACAAAAAATTCAATGGCTGACTCCACGTCAAACGGTGTCCTAAATCAAAGC